GTAGGGTCATGCCTCTTTTATTTTGCTCATCTCCATCTCTTTGTCTTTCTTCCCTTTCCTTCCAAAACAGAATAACCATAATAATCATTCACATAAAGCAAAGGTTCAGGTGGGGTAGCTGTGTTCGTCTGAAGCAAAAGAACAAAGTTTGAGCCCAGTGGCACACAAAAGAATAAGACTTAGATTTGTATCCTACCCTTCACTCAGAGTCTCAGAGCGGCTTACTATCTCCTTTCCCCTCCCCACAACAGACACCCTGTGAGGTAGGTGGGGCTGAGAGAGCTCTTTTGAGAACAGCTCTGAAAGAACTTGTGACTGACCCAAGGTCACACCAGCAGCTGCATGTGGAGGAGTGGTTAATCAAACCTGGTTCTCCCAGATTAGAGTCCGTACTCTTAACCACTACACCAAACTGGCTGATACCCAGGCCAGAATAAAACTTTGTTGGTCTTAAAGGAGCCACTGGACTCAAACTTTGTAAGTATAGTAAGGGAAAACTGTTGTCTCAAAACTAGAGCAACATTGACCACATATTTGTATGTGCAGATAAACAATTTTGAAAAAGAAATTCAGCACTAGAGAGAGGCTCTGAACCCCAGCCCCTTCTCCAATTATAGCTTATCAGTCCACTGCAGGACCCCCACCCCACCCCAAACTGTGTTGCCTCCTATGCTTAGACAGAAGATACCAGCACACTGTAAGTTTAAAACTCCTGAATCCAAGTTTTTATTACTGTGTAAGCAAAGAGGGATCACTCACAATAATATCTGTTCAAAAGTATTACATTCAACAGCATTTAACAGTAAGGTGATGTTAAAATTCCCTGGTGGGAAAAATAGAAAGGCTACAAGTCACGGCTCTCATTAAGTGTTGTCATGACCGGGAGCCCTGTAAGAGGCTGTTGGTTGAAATGGCTGCTTTGCTGAGCAGATTCCCCCTCCCCTGCCACCAAAGTGCCAGATCTGAGCTACTTGCTTGTGCAAAGATTCTCGAGACCAGAGGGGTGGGCAGCTGGAGGTGACATTTCTGCATCTTTTTAAGCTACTTGAGTGATCATCCCACTAGAGAAAAGCACAGATACCCCCTCCCCTATATTACTAAATACAATAAAAGTGGTCTGAAATTTTCTACAAGCTCTCTTGCCAGCAAAGCATGTTTTAACATTTCTCCCATTTTTTTTTACCTTGGAATCAACTGAACAGCCAAATGCATTCCACATTAAAATAAAAATTAAAGGCAAACTTTGAAAAGGAGAGGCTTCTTCATCCCTCTTCAAATCGCCCTTCCATTTGTACAGGGGTTCTGGGATCATCCCTGGCTCCCTCTGTGTTCAGAAACACTGTGCTTTTCCCAGCTGGAAGAAGATTTGGATGTGGGAGAGGGAGGCCTGAACCCTTGCCTTCTACTTTCCCACGACTATGCATAACCAGGGCACCAACACTTAACAAGTATGAGAGTTTCTCACTTTTTATTTTTTTCTAGCTCACACAGTAAACAGATCCTGTTACCACTGAATTTAAAGGGTGTTTTTAATGAGGGGGGGCGGAAGTGTTCCCAAATTCTTTGCTAACACCCAAGTGGTCATCTAAGAACAGAAAATAAGGCATTGGATTTGAGCTGTGTTTCACAGGCCGTTGTATAAACACTGAGTTGGGCTCTTAAAAGTGAAAACCAAAACCAAAAGAAACTCCTCTGACTCTTTATTGTTACATCATTACACTGAACAGAAATAGAACAGTGTCTTCTGGTAGCTCAGCATCTATGGGAAAGTGCATCTTGGGAAAAGGGATGCTTAATGCTTTGAGGGATCACACAGGAGGCAGTCCAGCAGATTGAACTGCATTGGCTCAGTGATTTACCATTGTGAGAGGTTGAGGGTTTCCTGGGGGGGGTTTGCCCGCTGTTTCAAGGGTGAGGCAGCCAGTCAAAAAAGCAGACACACACACCTTGCTTCTGGGAAAGCAACTTTTCACAATGCAACCGAATTAGTTCAATTCTCTTGTGGGTCATCCCCACACCTGAAGATGGTGCACAGTATCGTCTGAATGAGGGGGGGAAAGCAGCGTGTACATTTCAGAAACACACATACCAACTGCAGTGAAAGACAGCAAGAAAGGCGGAAGGGGATCTGATGGAACCAGAGGCAACCATGATATACACACACCCTTCTATTGGTTTTTTATAGGCCAATTTTCTGAACATTACATAATCACCAGAGCTTGTTGATCTCAGTGGGATGGAAAAAAATGTCATATGGGACTGTGACAGCTCTAGGGCCTCAGCTTAACACAGAACCATTTAGATAGGTTCAACTGTTACCTGGGTTTGAATTCATATAAAGTGTTTACTTAAGTTGCATGGTTAAAAGTCTTGTTTCCCCACGTCTAGTTTTCCTTTTAATTTTTCTTAATGTTTTCCCCATAGAAGTTACATATTTTTGCTTTCTGGTCATTTTTTTAAAAAAGGAATGTTTTATATATATAATTTCTTTTTTATGAAATTACCAGAATGAAAAATTATGTATATATATATAAACATGTGAGTGTGCACATTACAGGTAAGAATGGTTCTGTTACCAGGCTTGAGAGTTTGTGGAACTGTCGCCACGCTTTGACTCTCTGTCTCCCTCCAGCACACCACCCCATTCAAAAAGTGCTATTTGTGAAAGCTATTGCTTGTCCAATTACCCCCTCCCAATTCATCTGTAGCCCAACTGTTACTCCCATGTACTGATCATTTGCTAAAACAGTATCCAATTATACACAAGGTTCCAGCTTTGGGGTATCATCGCATCATCTCATTTTACAGAGAATCATTCTCCCGTGTAGGGGAAAAAACTCATGGAAACACTACATTAACTTAACTGAACACAGTATTTGGTGGACTTCAGCAGTGCTGCAACTCCCAACCATTTCAGTGTTTCTTTTTCAAAAATAAGACAATACATACTTTTTTTTTAAGATACAGGAGTGGTGGAAACAACTGAGAAGAGGCACCCTGGAAATGGGACCCTAAGATAAGTTTTTCAAGTACAAAACAGGAGAGACGCTGCTTTGAATGCTACTGTCTGGCTCAGCGCAGTCTTCATGAGCTAGAAATACACTCTTCCTTCAGAAAGAAACTGATTTCCCACTGGGAGCGTGTTCAGCGTAAACCCCCACGGAACCAAATGGGCTTGTGCAAGAGCAAGACTATAGTAAGGCCTATTCATTTCAGTGGGGGCTTCTCAGCGGATCTGACTTTACTGAATTGTTTCAACCTGTGGCTTTGGAGCCCAGGTTGTTGACAGAAACCAAATCACTAAATAATTTTTTTTTAAAAAAAAGCCCAGCAGAAGTTCTCTTGCACAAGCCCTGCTGAAGTGAATGGAAACTGTGCAAGAACACTGCCCAAACCACCTCTGGGCACAGTTCCTGTTCACTTCCCTAGGTCTCATGTAAGAAGACTGCTCAACCAGACTGTGTCCTTAAACCTTGAACCTCACTACTCTTTATTCATTTTTTTTGTTTTAAAAAGAGAGAGCACGCCCACCCTGAAGGAGGAATCAAAATTTAACGTACACATTTGGAGTATAAAAAATTCAGACAGAGGCTTTCCTGTCTTCATTATTTTTCCCTTCTAGTTATGTACCATATAAATTTAAACAAAATAATTTTATATATATATTATATTATATATATTTTATATAAATTAGACACAAATAAATAAAAGATTAAAGGGTACACTGATATCAGCTGTGTCAGCAACTGACATTCAATCACTTATTGTTATATTGTATGGGTTATATTTTTTATATATATATATATTGCGAATGAGGTGGATGTGTGTGTACATGAACACACACACGTGTGTGTACATGGTGTAAATCATAGTTCCTAGGAGTGCTGTGAGGAAAGGGCTGTTAGAAGCTCCTCAGTGACCTGGCTGAATACTAACCCTTTTGCATTGAGGGTAGGGAGAGACCGACTGGTTCCTCTTTCCCAAGCTCTGACTAAGAGTATTGCTGGTTTTCTTCATCGTGGGTAGGACACGCTGTGAGATTTTTAGCTGTCTACCATGATGATATCATCTCAAGCCAGAGAAGATCTGGGCAGCTCTACACGGCCCAAAGGACATTAGACAGAACATGCCTCAAGGACCAGTCAGTCACATTTGGAAATGGAATATGCACTACAGATTTTCTGCTCCCATGCGAGCACTATGACCTGTTGGCCAGGGTTGAAACCACTGGGTGCCTTTGCAGTTCTGGTCAGAGAAATGATCACAGGAGAACAGGGAAGGATATCTCAGTAGTAGATAGTTCAGAGTGCCTGACATGGCAGCACAATGAACAGGCCTGAGTGGGGAAGGTGGAATTGGCAATACTGGGAGCCAGATCCTGAACTGTCTCACAAGATCTTGCTATGTGACGGCACATCTAGCATGGAGACTGCTTTCCTGGCAAAACCTGTACATTAGTTGGTTTGTAGGTGTGCATGGAAACGGTGGTGTCCACCACAGTCAGTATTTCCAGCATTCCTCCTTGAACATGTGCTACTTCATGGAGGTCCCCCCCCCCCAAATAAACATGGTATCAAAGGGGAAGGGTATTTCTAGGTAGTGGGCACCCATGTGCATCTCAGTTCTGGCTGCATAGTCATTCACTGTAACTTGGCCATGCATCACCTTTGTACTGTAGTTGCAGTTTACTGCGACTGCTGGCATGTTGACCGCCAGGGGTGTATGTGAAATGCTGTCACAATAGTGACACGGTGGGAAATTACAGATCTTATGGTGGTTGGCAAGGAAAGGAGGCAGGCAGTGCTAAATGATCAGGCTGTAGGTGACTCCCCCCAATGACTTTGCTTGTGTTTGCCCGACTCCTATACGGAGATTTCTACAAATAGCAAAAAGGCTATTGAGGTATGCCAGGTTTCATTGCAGCTCACTTCCATTGCTCTCCTCCTAATATGCAACAGACAGTTTTTATTGGTATAACCCCCCCCCCCCCCCCGGGCCCCTCTTTCCACAAAAGGGCATACAGCTTGGGGCTGCAAAGAACACTGTGTGCCAAGTTGGCAGTCGACTTACAGGGTGTTTTTAAAGTCTCTGTTACAGAGCAAAAAAGTCGGAGTTCTTGGGAGCCTGCTCTAGCTTGTTTTAAGGCAAGCCGGAAGTAAGGCTTGCTGCCCCATCGCTATTAGGGAATTCGATACAGAACCAAAACAAAAGGCTGTGCACCCTCTCTCCACAACACAAAACTGTCTTTTCAGAGAAAATGGATTCTAAACAAAAACAACAGCTAAAAAAAGGCCCATTGCCCCAGGGTCTGCATCAGAGTAATTCAAAAGCACAGAAGGAAACCCACCCACCCGCCAAGGATGCTCCTCTAGCCTTCCCCAAAGAAGCAGCTGCAACTAGCACCTCAGATGCCCCGTTTTTCTCTCTAGAATTCAAAGAGGGAATGGAGCGCAGAGCTGCCCGCATCCTTAGAAAAGGAACCTGAATCATCAATAGACTTTAAAAATTAATTTAAGACAACACACACAAAAAAATGAAGAAAACCCCAAAAGAGAATCAAAACATACATCATTCCCCACAATGCGTGCATCTTTGGAAGTCAGAGCCTTGGTTAATAAAACCAAGCCTTCAAAAATATAAGGAGGCTGCAACTCCTGACACAGCAATAACGAGGTCAGGCTTAAAAAGGAAACCAATCCCATCACCTCCTCAGTCCTAATTGGTAGCTAAAAAAAGTCACTTAAAAAAAATCAAATGCCGTTTTATTAGTGCATAAAAATAGGTTTGGAATCCCTGTTTTGTTTTTGTCTTTTTGTTTCTCTTTTTAATTTTTTCTTTTAAATATTTAAACTCTGTGTATTTCCTTGAAGTTTGTGTGTTGCCAGAGAGAGGCGGCTGCCTGGAGTGCTTTAACTGCTGGCTCTTGGATCCTGCAACAAAGACGGGGAGGCCCCTCCTGGCACCCGCAGCCCAGTAAGGGGTGGGAGGAGGCTCAGAAGATATTGGGGCACATGCTCCAGTCCTGTCTCTCCTTGGCTTCCCAGTATCCACCCTTGTAAACGCAGATCAGCTCCCCCGTTGCAGGGTCCACCTTCCTCTCAAACCACAGTGGGATGTAGCCTTCATAGTCTTGGCCTATAAAAGATGGGTAAAGAAAGAAAACATACACACAAAAGTTGCACATTACATTGGCGTGTGCCCAGGGGCCCCCCCCCCCCCCCGTTGGTTCTGGCCTCCTACTGCTTCGGTTTATCCCCTGATTTCCACATGCATTTATGTGCCTTTCGTTTTCTCACTTCCCTCGCCCTTTTCCACAATTCTTTTGAGAGAACTTTTATCCTGATGTTTTTCTAGAAGCCAATTCCGAGTCAGCTTTTTCTTTGTGTATAACGTTTCTGTCAGATTTCTTTTCCTTCCACCTGTAGCCCATTTTTCAATGGCTGGACTGCTGTAGTCAAACAAATCCTCCTCCTCCCCCCACACTGGAGACGAGCGGTTTCATTTTCTTTCTTTTTTAAAAAATGGCACAGCAACCCCCCCCTTTTAAAAAACAAAACTAAAATATCGATACACTGTTAGAGGAACGGAGTTCCGTCTGGCTCCCAAGTTGGCCACACCCAGCAGGAACTCATTAACATACTAGGCCACACCCAACAAGCAGAAACTCATTAGGATTGGCTACATTAGGGGTGTGTGGCCTAACATGCAAAGGAGTTCCTGCTACAAAAAAGCCCTGGGTTTTGACAACAAACAAGGTAAACAGAATAACAAGCAAAAGGTGGGTGTGGCTGGATAACCACACCTGGTAACATGGGGGTGCAGCCTAATGTGCTAATGAGCTGTGTTGTCAGGGGTGTGGCCTAATATGCTAATGAGTGTCTGCTGTTGGGTGTGGCCTATTATGGTAATGAGTTCCTGCTGGGCTTTTTCTACAAAAAGATTGTAACAATAGCCTTAGTAGGTTCTCTAAATTCCCAGTTTTCATTTTAAAAAAAGTAAGTCTCTAGTCTTTTCCCTCATGGAAATATGCATTTTTCCTTATACCTGCACATGGAAAGAATCTAGAGACTTGCTTTTTTTTTTTAGTGAAAGCTGTGAATTCAGAAAACCTGCTAAGCCATTGTTACAATGTTCTAGCAATATACTGATATTTCAGTGTCTTTTTTATAAAAGGGTGGTGCTGTGACGCCACCAATGACAACACCCTCCCTTGAAAATCTTCATTACCAAATGCATTTGAAGAAGAAAATAAACTGATCCACAACTGTGAAAATGCAGAGGGAGGGGGAGACATGTGGAAGCACCCTGCCCAAACTGATTCCTCTGCTTGTGGATCGACTGCCAAGAAAACCAGGAGTAAGTTGAGCATGCAGAAAAGCCCACACAACAGTGAACTCAAAAAAAGGAAGCTGCCACGATGGGGTCTGAGGGAAGAGAACTTCTCCCCATTCTACCGCCACACACTAGCTGGAAGTTTGGTTTTACTAAATTTCACACCTGACTTCACCGTGTCTCAGTGACCTTGGCCTGTAATGGTGATAATGATTGCTGCTCATCAGCTCTTGTGTACGTGGCTTGCATTTTTCTGTAACCAGGTGGCCAATGAATCATGGAACTTCAGGTTACCTTCTGCTGACCTCTCAACTGTTCCAGTTACACTCTGGCTCCTACCTTCTTCCAGGGCCACCACTGCCGCCGCTTCCCGTTGGCGACGAACAGCTCTCTGCTTCTCTTCTAGCCTCTGTTTCTCCATGTTGGCCTCATCCCACTTGCCGTTCTCCATGAGCCGCTGGTCAGGCCTTAGTCGGCTGTCTGTGGGGGCCATGCCTTCCTCCATCTCGTTCAGGGTCAAAGCCAGGCTGGAGAAGTAGTACATGTTTTCGGCATTCTCCCTGAAGGAAGAAGATCAACACTTGATGTGAGCTGGAGAAAGTGCCTGCTAGGAGCAACCCTACCCTGCCTCCCCCCATCTATTACTAGCTGCTTTTAAAAGCCAAAAGGGGAAAGACTGCTTCCACTGAAACAACTATTTATTTATTTAATATATTTCTATGCCACCTTTCCACCCAAATAAAGGTCTCTCAACTACTGCAACCCTCTGGGTGAGTGACTATCTACATCTGAAGAAGTGAGCTGTCACACACAAAACCTCTATCTTGCCACAAATGTTGTTGGTCTTGAAGGTGCTACTGGACTCTTGCTCTTTTCTGCTGCTACAGACAGACTAATATGGCTACACGTCTTGATCTAGCTATCCCACTGTGCCATTTGAGCATCTTATTCGGGGAAACTATGACACAGCCAGCTTTCATTGTAGACAAGATTCTCCTGCCTTCCTTCTTCACTCCCATGGTAAGTTCTTTAATATTTGCCCACTGGAGGTCTATGAGAAGACAGCAACAGGAGAAAGACGTGTAAGAGATGGTCTTACACGTGTGGCTAAGCCCTCATGTTCTTGTGCATTCCAAGTGCAGTTGTGTAGAAGATTTAAGAATTGGTGAGTGGGTGGCTGTTTTGGCTTTCTGCCACAGGCAAAAAGAAATCTTAGTCTGGCCCAAGATACATTGTGCTTTCTCTTCACTGCACCCGATTCTAGCAGCTTGGTGATGAAGTATATGCTCTGTAAGGAGGTTCTTATGGGTTTGGTATCTGATATCTTAAGAGGCAGTACTATAAGTGCTGGATGTGGAACACTTCAGTTCAAATCCCCACTTGCCATGAAATTGACTGGGTTATCTTGAGCCAGCCCATCCTACCCCACAGGGTTCTTCCAAAAGTAAAGTAGGCTGAACCTCCCCATCCATAAACACCACCCTGAAAGTATGCGTGGGATGTGTGGACTGCAATAGTAAGAATTAGTTAAAAGGAACCCAAGTAGCAGATCTCCTACCCCAGTCCCTGGAGAAGTGCTGCCACTTGGGATACAGGGACTGATGCTCTGACTTGTAAACTGGCAACTTCGAATGTCCAGTTGCACCAATCACAGTGGGCACAGCAGTGTTCCGTCCACCTCTGAATCGCAAGCCACACCTAAGGGGCTTGACAACATGCAATTCCACTCCAGGTGACACTTACGGAAGGGGGTATTTCTTCCACAGGACCCTGGGAGACAGTGTCTGGTAGACTGTTTTCGGCAGTTTTCCCTCCATGCTGCTGGAACCCAGGCTGCTCTGCACTATTTTGGAGCATTCCATCTTTTCGTCCCATGTGCCAGACATAACATAGTGAGCCTTGCCTTCTGCATCCATGACAACACCTGTCACCTGTCCGGAGGGGTCGGGCGAGGGGTGGGAAGACAGAGGAGAAGGGATGGTTGCTTGAAACCAACACAGTCCAGCTACAAGCACCCATGCATTTCATTGGGAGAGATCTAAACACACACTTTACCCTTCTATGAGGAATTAGCACCATTTCACTTCAGCTGGATTGTGCCCATGCACATTTAAGCTCAACAGCCAGCTGGATTGTGCCCATGCACATTTAAGTTCAACAGCAGCACTCCCCCGACAGTAAACATGCAGTAATCCTTGTTGTGGAATCCTGCCCCTACCACTAAAATGATTTGCATATAGGAATAAGGTGATGCATATGTGCTATCACATAAACCAGGGGAGGACAAACTTGTTTAACGTAACAGCCACATAGAATAAACATCAGTTGTTTGAGAGCCGCAAAACATGAACAAATATGACATATTTGTATTGAAAAATATGCAACTTTACTTTTTATTACCATTAAGTTAGACTGTGTGAAAGAGCCACATGTGGCTCCCAAGCTGCAGTTCGGCCACCCCTCGACATAAACCAAAACTGGGAGAACACTGGTGGAGAGGGGGAGGCGCTGATCACCCATCAGCCACCTGGCAATAGCTTTAGCAACCTGGGCTCCCTATTGCCAAGCCAAAGACAAAGCCCTGACATGAATGGACTAGGCTAGTCTGATCTCGTCAGATCTTGGAAGCTAAGCAGGGTCAGCCTTGGTTAGTATTTGGATGGGAGACTACCTAGAAGTCAAGGGCTCTTACGCAGAGGCAGGCAATGGCAAACCACCTCAGTTTATCTCTTGCCCTGAAAACCTTACAGCGTTGCTGTAAGTCGGCTGCGACTTGACGGCGCTTTCCACCACCAAAGACAAAACCTATTGTCACTGTGAGTGGCTGTTGTTGGACTTAGGATGAATTGATCAAAGCCTTACGGGGGGGGGGATCAGTTTTTTGTTGTTTGCTACTTTTTGTGCTGCAAACTGTTGTGCTACATAGGGGCTTCCCATTGCTCCACCCCTCTCCACCAAGCCTGCCCCCCTCCTTTAGCATCTGCCCCTGGACGTGCTGTTTGTACTGTGTACTGTGTTACTTTGCATTTGACTGTGCAAACCACCTCAACAAGGTCTCTGGACAGGCAGCCATATACCTTTTCTAAATAAATAAAATCAAAAATAAATGCTCTGCATTATGTACACTGCCAAGGTGTGGAAATGGTAAATCAAGACTATTGCATGTCTCTGTGACAATGCCTACCTTTCGAGGAACATCCCTGGAGAAATAGCTGTAGGGGGAAAACTTCAGCTGGCATTTGTCTTTTGACTTGTAGTTGATGATTTCTATGTCACCAGACTGAAGGGGAAAATTGCAAAGATACTGCTTTTAGATTTCTCTGTGCATACACCATCAGGAACACAGGGTATTCTCTGACCCCCCCCCAAAAAAAAAGCATGACTGAACATCCTGAGCTTGATGTGAGTACCAGAGGATGGCTCCCTACCTTGCCTGGCTAATCTGCCCACATGGATCCATGCTACGGCAACCTTCAGGCTAGACCACTGCAATGCACTGTACATGGGTTTGTCTTTAAGGACAATTTGGAAACTCTAGCTGGTTCAGAATGCCACAGGCTCATTTATTATCAAGAGCAAGGTGGAATACGCCCATGACTCCTATGCTGTACTCATTCTAGTGGTTACTGATTAGTTTCTTGGTTAAATTCAAGATGCTGGTCATTACCTACAAAGGCATTCATGGCCTGGGGCCCACATATCTGCAGGACCACCTCTCTCGAAATGCTCTGCTGAGACAGCTTCGCTCATCTGAGCAAAGGCTTCGGAAGGTGTCACCCTGCAAAAGGGCAAGAACAACAGCTGTCTGTACCAGAGCCTTCTCTACCGTGACTTCCACTCTGTGGAATGGCTTGCCTGACAAGGTCAGGAAAGGCTCATGCTTCTAATGTGCCACAGAATAAGTGAACTGGAACTGTTCAGGAGGGCCTTTTTATAAAGGGAATGGTGCCATTGGCTTAAAGATTTGTGAAAATTTTAGACAGCCCCCCCTTTCATATTGTATTGTTTATTGGATGAATACCACTGCTTTTATTTCATTGTGCTCTAACTGTGTAAGCCAGTTTGACTGATTCATTTATTGCATACATTATCGTTATTATTTTATAATTCTATAATCTGCCTTGAGTCTCAAGGTGATAAAGGATGACAATAAATGAAGTAAACAAATATCTCAACTGTGCCAAGTTTTAAAATGTGCCCCATTTAGCAATGTTACTGTGCACCAGTAGGAGAATGAAAAGCTATGAAAATGCCTGTATTACACTTTAAAATCAAAGCCAACACAAACTCTTTCCAACTAAAAGCAGTGCAGCGTTTCTGTTTTCACCAAAATCTCATAATTCCTACAAAAGCTAAAGATCCCTCCCAGTGATACAGCTGCTTTAAAAGTGAAATATTAGCAATCATACTAATAGCAAAAAACTAACACACTTTGGTACGTAAATTCTTAAAATGCACTATCATCACACACAAGAATCAAGACACACAGCCCCGTAAATTCACCAGTTCCTGCATCATGCTGTATCCTCATCTTCCTTGCAGTTACTAGTTACGAGCCTGTTTGGACAGGCTGATTAACTGCTTGTCTTACACAACAACAAGAATTCTAGTTTTAGTTGTACTGGGATGGCCACACAATGTGCACTTCAAAGGCTTGCACATACCTGTTGTAATGGGTATAACTGTCTATGCATTTTCTGCACTTGAATTTACATTTAATTAATTAATTAATTAATTCATTAATTCATTCATTTATTTATTGTTTCTATTTATATCCCGTCTTTCCAGATATCTGGCTCAAGGCGGGTAACAACATTAAAATGGCATAAACAACCAAGTTAAAACAATTAATAAATACCATACCAATTAAAACAACAGCAGTTGCAATTAACCCAACAGAAATGGCGGTAATCCAAATCCCATCCAACGATAGGGGTAGCGTCCAGCAGAATCTCAGGCCCGAGGGTGTTCTAAAATTTCAGACCAGGTGATGTTCCAGGGCACACTCATCAGTGGCAGCCCCTAATCGAAAGCCTGGTGGAAGAGCTCCGTTTTACAGGCCCTGCGGGACTGTAAAAGGTCCTGCAGGGCCACCAGGTTGGGGTTGGGGCCGCCACTGAGAAAGCCCTGGTTCGTGTGACATTCAGCCTATCTTCTTTCGGACCAGGGAGGGTCAGACGATGTTGCGACCCTGACCACAGTGCTCTCTGGGGCACATATGGGGAGAGGCGGTCCCTCAAGTAGGCAGGCCCCTGACCATGTGGGGCTTTAAAGTTAACACTAGCACCTTGAACCGAATCCGGTACGCTATAGGCAGCCAGTGCAGTGTCCTCAGCACAGGCTGGATGTGGTCCCATATAGAGAGACCAAACAACAGCCTAGGCATTCTGCACTAGCTGCAGCCTCCGGATCTGGGACAAGGGCAGCCCCATGTAGAGAGCGTTGCAGTAGTCTAATCTCGAGGTGACCATTGCGTGGATCACTGTTGCAAGGTCACTGCGTTCGAGGAAGGGAACCAACTGCCTGATCAGCCATAGATGGTAGAAGGCCACCTTGGCAGTGGCTGCTACCTGGGCCTCCATTGTTAAGGAGGCTTCCAGGAGCACTCCCAAGCTCCCTCGGCGCTGGCACCAATGGTGCCTCACCGAAAGCCGGCAATGCGATACCTACCCCCGACCTGCTCCGACTCAAGCACAGGACCTCTGTCTTCGTTGGATTCAGTTTCAGTCGGCTCAGTCTAAGCCAGCCCACTACATCCTGAAGCGCCAGCTCCAGGTCATGTGGGTCGGAGCCGGACCGACTGCCCAACAACAGATATAGCTGGGTGTCATCAGCATACTGGTGACACCCCAGCCCGTGCCTCCAGGCAATCTGGGCGAGGGGGCGCATATAGATGTTAAACAACATCGGGGATAGCACCGCCCACTTGTGGTACCTAAAAACGTAAAGAGCCCCCATAAAAAGCATTAAATTGTGTCCCGCTCCGGGGATCGGGGGCCGTGAGAGCCAGACCCCAGAACACCGATGACCTCCCCCCCGCAACCAGTCTTACTGACGTGAACCCGACCCACGGAGAGGGAACGACCCGACCAGCCAACAAGGGAGGCACACAGCTCCGGCCGCGCCAGAAGACGAGACCGGGGCACACGGGGCTGCAGCGGGGAAGGAGAAGAGGACAGCGTGGCCAGCAGGCAGGGAAGGAGTCTCGAGAGGCTGGAGCAGCAGGGCGTCTATGTTTATAAAGAGGGGCGGGGCCCAGGCCAAGAGGGCGGGGGGCGGTCCCGGGAGTAGGGCGAGGGGAATAAAAAGTGCCAAGGAGGAAGAAGCATGCTGCGATACGAGAACCAGAGAGAGAAAGGACGAGCGACCATCACAGCGTGCAGGCAGAGGGACGCTTGGGGTGCTTTGAACCCTGTCCCCTGCCGGTCTGAGGCCATTCTCTCCCAAACCCCTTAGGAAACCCGCCTGCCCTTGGACCGCCCGTCTAGCCAGTGCTCGTCACCTAGCACGGCAACACAGCCACAGGAGGCGCCACTCCACAGAGAAAGGAGGAGCGCGACAAATTGTGGGTCAGTAAACTACTATATTATGTAGATACCCCACCCCACCCCCTAACCCAGTCTGGACTCCTACCTTTACTCTCAGAACCCTTCAGTTTCTGATACTGACTGTTCCCCTGCCCTTGTAATAACTGTTTAATCACTCTAGAATTCAAGGGCAGCTCTTGCTTTGCTGCTGAACACTGACCTGGTCAATCCAGAGCTTGCCCACGATGATGTTGTGAACAGTGGAGGTCACCTTTCTCCAGATGTAGTGGTTGCCACTGGAGTGGAATTCCAGGTGGATGGCACCTGCAGGGAAGGGGGGGAGAGGATTGCTTCTAGGACAAAGGCATGTCACTTCTAATCAATATCCTGCTTGCCCACCAGAATATGCATTATGCCTGAGCAGCAAATGGAAATCTCTATCTTGTGTGCATCTCCTACACAGATATGCTAATTTTTCTCTTTCCCCTACCACACATGAGAAAAACCCAGTAGATGGTACATCTATGCTCCATGAATTTGTCTAATCCTATTTTAGATGCTGCTGCTGCTGCAACTTTTGATAGTGTATTCCTGTACTTTTCCAGAAAAAATCTCACTACCCAATCCTTCCAGTCTGTTCAAAAATGTAAAAGTATCAATTACGTCCCCTCTCTCCTTACTTGCTTCTTATCCACACTAAAGAAGGTCTGAACACAGCTGCAGGGGCAAATTTTCCTGTGCTTTGAGAAACAACACTGCCTGCACCTCTAGCCATGTGTTGAATTATTTTTTTAAAAAAATTAGCTCATAATACAAGGAAAAAGGGGAAATCCACAATATAAAAGTTGCAAAGATTCACTAGGCCTCAACACGACACCATTAAAGAAGAGGTCTTGTACCATATCCTGAAATCTCTAGTGGGCCACAAAGAAGAAGAAGAAATCCATCCAAAAGGAAATGAACTCCCCACTCTAAATCATCTGTGAGTAGCAAGAAAGTGCTGCTCTCTACCTGAAAAGCAGGCTCCTTACCCAGCGGCATGATGGAGAGATATTTGCCCCGAAACTTGCTAGCGATTGTGATTTCCTGCCACAGTGTCCAGCCCCGTCTGGAGTATACATGGTGGGCTGCAGCTGGAGGGTGATGGCTCACCTGGGGGAAAGAAGCAAGGCGGAATGGCTTGAAAATCAGCCACAACCAGAGAAAGGCTCCCAGGCATGAGAAAGCATTTGTTCACAGCACTGAGAGGCCAAGCCCCTTCTAAACCCATCCTCCACAGAAAACTCCACAGAGCCAGTAGGGTAAAGCAAGTTGCAATGCTCCTTTGAAGAAAGAAGGCATCTCTGCACTTAGAGAGAAGAGGCTAGGGATTCTGCAGTGTAATCCCCATGTTTTGACAATTCAGATATTCTGCTGCTAGAATAAATGATTAATTTTGGCCTGGAGTACATGAAGAGCTGCAATTTTGTTTCCCGGGTTGTGTGGGGTTCTTGCTTTTTGTTAAGAGGACAGATATAGTCTATAAGGGCAGGAATCCTGGTGCTGGAAACTGTGTGGCAGAACATCTAAGTCTCCATCGAGGTCTCCTCCTCTTTCAGCAAAATGTGACTACCCATTTCCATGTTTCTTCCCCTGTCGTTTTATAGACTTGAAGACGACACAGATAGAGAGATGCCAAGGCCCCCTGAATTTGCATTGGGGGTGTGCCACTGTGGCAGATCCCTCTCTTGCACAGCTCTATCGTGGATGTGTTTGGTACAGAGTCCAAGGCATCAATATCCCACTGGAGCTGGCAAGAGGAGATTCTATTTGGATAACTGTTTTTCAGTCAGAAGCAGTGTTCCCTCTAAGCTGAGTCAGTGTGAGCTAGCTCAGTTTTTTTAGTCTTGGGCTCACACATTTTTGTCTTCGCTCAGGAAGGATGGCTCCAGAGCAAACTAATTTATGCAGTAGCCAAATCACTCACTCACAACTTTAATGTCAGTAGCTCACAAAGTAGAATTTTTGCTCACAAGACTCCACAGCTTAGAGGGAGCATTGGTCAGAAGACTATTAAAATCAGTTCAGGGCAGCTGGAGGGAGGACTAGAGAGAGGAAGGAATGAGGAGAGATACACACTGCTGGAACTGATGTGGAAAAAAATCACTTCACTGTGTGTTCTGTTTACTCGTACATACAAAGACACAGGCTGGGGACTCAGGAAACGTATACCATATAAAAATGCCAAGACGCACACATGGAACAATTTTTTTAAAAAACTCCTTGGCTTACACAGAGCAGTGCAACAATTAGAACCGGTCACAGAAAAACTGTTCCTGAGCAGGCAACTGGGACCCAAAGCCTTCTGACCCCACTGCAGGAAACGAATACAATTCACGGAATGATATAGTTCAGCATCTTCATCCCACTTGCCCCGCCTCAGGCTCACAGCAGCCCTATGCTCACTCGCCAGAGTTCGGCACACCCTCCCTCGTCCACTGACGCCACACTGCCTCACCAATCCAACACTTTACCTGTTCGCAGAGTGAACGGAAGCCCATTTCATCCAGGCGGTCCAGCTCATAGGTCTCGCCCAGGAGTGGGTTGAATGGCTTGGCTGTCCGGTGGACTGTCGTTGAGTAGGAAGACACAGAGAAAGCAGCCACAAAGCACATCTGCTCTGTGGAGCTCTCGCACTTGACGGCTTTGTCAAGCAGCTCGTGGTACTCCAGATCCTCTGTTAGCCTCTGCAGCATGGATAGCGGCTCGTTGAAGTTTACCTGCAGAAGGTTGAGGGAGTAAAGATACATGGGAAGGATTAATCTGACCTCCAGAGAGTGCATTGGATCCTGCAAAATATGATGCTCATGTGCTCACAACAGCTCCTATTCTAGTGACGGACTATGATCTGGGAGACAGAGGTTTGAATCCCTGCTCTTCCATGGAAGCTTGGGCTAGTGGCACACTCTTAGCCTAGCCTACCTCAAAGGTTGTCATGAGGATAAAATGGAAGAGAGCAGAATGACGTAAGCTACTTTGGGTCCCCCGCCAGGGAGAATCAGGGCTAGTGGCACACTCTTAGCCTAGCCTACTTCAAAGGTTGTCGTGAGGATAAAATGGAGGAGAGCAGAATGACGTAAGCTACTTTGGGTCCCCCGCCAGGGAGAATCAGAGAATCACAGAGCGGGAAGGGGCCATACAGACCGTCTAGTCCAACCCCCTGCCCAATACAGGTCCAGCCTAAAGCATCTTTGACAAATATTCATCCAGCCTCTTCTTGAAAGCTGCCAGTGAAGAGGAGCTTACCAACTCCCTAAGCAGGATTTAAATGAAGTAAATAGACACCTGCTAGCACCTTTTCCAGACACTTCTCATCTACACTCACCAGGATCAAGTATGTTTAATTCCATCCTGCCTCCAAAGAGCTCAGGGGGGTGCACATGGGTCTATTTCATCTTCACAATCATCTGTAAGGTGAGTCAGGATGAAAGAAAGTGACTGGCCCAAGGTTGCCCCCAAAAGCCCCTCCGTGGCTATGGGCCCGGTCGCCCAGCACCTTTCACAGAAGACAGGGTGGGGATTTGAACTTGGGTCTCCCTAGCTGTAGTTCAACACCCTAACCACACCATCACATGGGCTCAACCATATCCAGCATTTAATATATTCAAAGTGTTTCGCATACATTTGTCTCAGCAGTTCTTACAATGGCTTTATAGGGCAGGGCAATTAGTGACTCTCCCCCCCTGCAAATGGTGGAGGAGTTCTAAGGCTGAAGGGAGGTTTGTTTAAGGCTGTAAAGTCAACAAACTGACATTTTAAAATGAAAATGGAGATTTGCAGGAATCCAAATCCCACGCCCCATATCACATTCTGTGTTCCCACAGAACCATAGTACACTCAGAGCCCTTGTCTTGGGACAAGGCTTTTTACCTGCAAACATTGTCCGTAAGACCCTAAGGGCATTAGAGATATTCAATTTAATGTCGGGGCAGGTTTGGGAAAAAACCCTGTCTCTACTTTCTCCCTATCGCAAGAGCTTTTGACGGTCACCATTTGGCCAGAGAAACTGAGTTCCTCAGCTGCCTGCAAAGATGACAGCATTTGGAACACCTCCCCAGAGACAGGATACTGGCATTAATTTCTCAGGGGGAGGGAGGGAGGGAACGGCCTCTTCCAAAAGCGCTGTTCCTCTCCTTTGCTGCTGACTCCTGCCCACACCACAGCCTGGATTTGCACATCGTCACCACAAGGAGGTGAGAGTACAAGGAGGCTGCTGGTGTGAAGGGCAATGAAGATGGCAATTTGTCATCTGGTAAAAAAAAGCAAAAGTATGGGGGGGGGCAGTTGGTATTAACATGGCCAAAGTGCTTCAAGAGCAAAAGAGGGACACGCTGGAGCGGCTGGCACAAAACACCACGGCAGGGGCTGTAGGGAGGCCAGCTGACTCGCTTTATTGGCCTGCATGAGAAACAACATGACGGAGTGGTTCAAATGCTTGGTTTGGATACGGAAACCTCCCATTCAAAGCCCTGCACTTTTATAAAGTTCACTGGATGGGACTGTGGCAGGCCACCCTTGCCCTAGCCAGCCACACAGGGTTGTTGTGTTGGTTCTGAGCTTCTCAAAGGAAGATGGGATGCAAAAAAATCCGGAATGCCTCCTGCAGCTGCCGTTACAGCCAGACCAGAACGCATGGGTATGGCAAGGTGAGTTTCTGCCTAGTCAAATGCAAACTTGCTTCCGATGGGTGCCTTCAGATTCTTTAGCTTCCTGGATTAACATCAGTTCACAGGCCTGAGGAGTCAGATGGCTACCAAGCTGCTGTTCTTGCCTCCTACTGCCAGCTTATGTCCTACCACACAGTTGGGAAAAAATTACGTTTCCTTAGGAGGAGGTGGCAATTTCTACAGATTTCTTTCTCTCACTGCAGCCTGGTGAAATCCTGTTCCGGGGGAGGGGATGTCAGCGAATCTACAGGGACAGCTGGTTGCAGTGGATGGGGGGAATCAGCAGAAAATATGAGTGTCCTTAAGTCTTTGGAATGTGTTTGGATTTGAGCCCATGACCCATTTTGAATCCTAAATTCCTCCATGTGCCCCCCCCACCCAAAATTCAACCCCCTTCCAAATCTATGAACCTTTCTCATTCCCCAAAGGTCAAACTATGTGTGTCACCGGAAAACCCTGACTGATCTCTTTCGGAATGTAGGCTCAGGTGACTGTGAACTTGATGGCAGCTGTGTGTGTGTGATTACACTTTTCCCTGTGCGCTGAATTTCCAGTCAGAATTGTACCTCCCATGTTGCTTTCCTGTGTGTGTGTGTGTGTGTGTGTGTGTGTGTGTGTGTGCGGGAAATACATGGAGACGTTTCATCTCATGGATGTACATGATACACATCCCTAAGCACACTCATGCTGGGTAATCCATGGCACAGTGAACAGCCACAGAGATCTTCCAGGGACCTTGAGAAGAAGGGTTTCATTCTGATGCAGCTAAATGTTACTTTCTGTGCTTCGTGGTACAGTTACAATTAGTCAAAGTTTCAGCCTGAACCGAACTATTGGAGCTGAACAAGGAAGGGAAGGATTATCTTTCCAGAGTGTTAGGATATTAAAACTTGGTTACAGCTGAAAGATACATAGATTTTGAGATGTAAAGCAGTATTGCATGTGGAAGGGTTTTAAAGAGGCTATGCCTTTGACACACTGAAACCTTTGCATAGAGACTACAAAAATTTCCTGCAGGGAAATGCTACAGTAAAATCTGCAGCTCTCGCACCCTCCCCCACCCCAAATGCATATAAATACAAATAAAACAGTTGGGGGACCAATCACAGGTCTCCTGGTGTCATATACAGTTTGAGCCTGACTCTCAGATTATTACACCAGGTTGTTTTCAGGAGGTTTTCAAACAGAGGTTATGGCCATCTGATAGCAATGCATATTCTGTGAACTTGGGCAGATCATGAGAGGGAGGGCAGGAAGGGTTGCATCAGTGCTTAGTTCCTGTAACCCTTTCTTACTGGCCCAGGGAAATGCTGATCGCCACTTTGGGGTCAGGAAGCAATTTTTCTCCAGGCCAGTTTGGCTGGAGATCCTGGAGGTTTTTTGTCATCTTCTGGGTGTGAAACAGCGGTCACTGGGTGTGTGTGGGGGCAAGAGGTATTTGTGAATTTCCTGCATTGTGCAGGGGGTTGAACTAGATGACTCTGACGGTCCCTTCCAACTCTATGATTCTATTTCAGTCTCTTAGTATCAAGATGCCTTCTGACATTCCAATTCCCTATTTGTGTTTTAATACTGCAGGTACAGAACATTCATATTTAACACCTGGGTGTTCACAGACCAAGCACGTAGTTCATAAAAGCAGGCAGATGTCAAAGGCAAATTGAAATACTCATTAAAAGAAGGCAGCCATCTGTTGCACCGCCATCGAGAACAAAATCGGAGTTGAGTCATTGGTAAAAGTGACTTAAGTCAACAAGATGCAAAACCAGCAGCACCAGTTTATTTGCATGCCCATCTCTGCACTGAGATCATATAGCACCAAGTCCATAAAGTAACAGCAGGCATCTTATTTCTCACGAGCAGCAAGGAGTCTATTTTGCCCCTGTGAGAAAGGATCTTGATTCCAGATGATCCACAGTAAACAGAGCAGCCAGCTGTGGAGGTGGGAGAAAGTTAGCATTTTCCTGACTTGGTGCTGCAGTATGTTCTCTCCCATACCCACATACCTGTGCAATGGTTGCAATGACCAAATAAGTGTGAAGAAGAGAACCCTAGAGTAGTTTGGGCTGCTGTGCATACTGGAGAAAAAAGCGTCTAACGAGAAATGTACTGAAGTCTGGTATAGCAAAGGAACTGAAGAGGTCATGTTGGATAGCTAAATGGGTGCACTTTAAAACTAGGCAACAGGGAACAATGAATAGTCTGGAATGCTGCAATATTGCTCGACCTAAGCTGCTGTGATCAGCAGTGTGGGTGAAAGAGACAAGTTAGAGCCACAAACACCAAAGCAGAATACCGATAGAGTTGCATTTTTCTTTGAAACAGTGTGTGTGGGCATGCCTCTAGCACAAGTCTTTTGTCATGTGGCCCAAAAGCTCCCTGCGAACTGATGGAGATTTACTGCCATGCCAAAATGATATTACATTTCTAAATAATTCCCAGCATGGCTCCCCCATGAACATAATCTATTTGTTGCCACAAGCATTGGAGTAACAGATTTAAAGCTTTTAATCATTTTGTTTGGCTACTGCATCCCTTCTGCTACATTCTAATCATGCCCCATGGTCTTGGATGATTGATAAACTGCAATCCAGGGGATGTTAAGAAGCACCATAGTGGCTTTTACCAGGAGCATGTCCCTGCGTAGCTGAAGGGGGGGGGTCTACTGTCTTGAAACGGGGGGGGGGGCTGTGGGAGTCTGCAGGACCAGGTGGTGTCAGCTGCCACCTGCTGCTAGCCCAAGAGGACGTTTGTAACAGTCGGCAAGCAAAACAAATATCCTCAGAAAAGCCCTTCTCTAGGGGCATCAGGAGGAGCTGCGGTGGCTCAAGTGGTTAAGACGCTGAACTGCAGGCTGTGGGAGGTCAGTAGTTCAGCAGTTCGAGACCCGGGTTGCCGCATGACGGAGTGAGCTCCCGTCTCTAGTTCCAGCTCCTGCCAACCTAGCCGTTCAAAAGCAAGAAATCGCAAGTAGATAAATAGGTACCACTTCGGTGGGAAGGTAACAGCGTTCCGTGCGCCTTGGTGTTTAGTCATGCCGGCCACATGACCACGGAAACGTCTTCGGACAGCGCTGGCTCTTCGGCTTTGAAACGGAGATGAGCACCGCAACCCTAGAGTCGGATTCGACTGGCTTTTGAGCAAGGGAAACCTTTACCTTTACCTTTACCTTTAGGGGCATCAGGAGTTGATGTTCTCTTTGGGTAGGTTATAACAAGGGAGAAATGTACCCTTCATCCAGTTTATGCCCATCAGGACAACACTGTGTGTGGGATGAGGGAGATAAGACTAAGATTCTGGGAGGACACTGGGGAGGGAACCAGCAGAAAGGAGAGGGCTTGCAGACAATGCTAAGAGACTCCAGGGGTGGATGAGTCAAGTCTGGTTCCAACTTTGAGGGGGGCTCTTCTGGCTTAGGTGGAGATCCTTTAACTGGTTAAGATGGAAGAGGTGGAACTATGAGAGTGATGGGATGCACGGAGGGGTGTGAATCACGGCGGCTCCACCATCGCAGAGGATCTTGGGCAAGCTGTTACGGAGAGGGGACCACCTAAGCCAGAGACAGTATGCACCACTTCCAGTTAATTAAGAGCCAAGGCGGCAGCAGCACTGCCCAGTTGGGTCTTTCTGACCTTTTGCCCACAACTAAGATGGCTGCTACTAATGATGGCTCAACAGCCCCCACCCACCCACCCCCAGAGTGAGGGAGACGGCAACAATGGGTGAAGATTTGCTTTCTTGCCCTGCAGATGGCCATCCTGGTGATATCTGTTTGGTTTCTGTAAGAAATAGGATGCTGAATGAGATGGGCCTTTGATGTGATCCAGCAGGGCTTTTCTTATGTTCTTGTGAGAAAAGAAAAATAGATTTTTGCACAGCGTTGCAGGTGCAATCAATCAGGGCCATCAAAGTAAGGGAGCGGGCAGGAAAGATGGATGAGGATCCGTTTACTGTGTAACAAACACAGTGTGAAGGCCGGCTATGAAGCAAACGACACGACGGCGGCGAGCGCAACATTCCCTGCAAAGAGCAGCAACAACTGCCCTGGGCTGGCCTTGTCAGCAAGCAGCTCTGCTCCCTGAGCTGAGAAATACACAAGGAAGCATTCAATTACTTGCCAATTAAGAGTATCTGATCCTTCTGGAAACAGACACCGCCTGTGTCTGTGCCTGTGTGCAGCCGGAACACGGCCTCCCTTGGCCAGCTTTCCAGATGCCAGGGGACCGAAGCACACAGGACACTTTCCTGCCTCACTTGCTTAGTGGCACAGGCCACACAATCTCCAGTGCACATGTTCTAATTCAGTCGCCATCAGGCTGAGAGTTTGGGTGGCCACAGCTAGCCCTTAAAGGTGTCCTTATTCATAATGTGGAACAAGAACAAGGCCGCAGCTCAGTGGTGTAGTTGATGCTTAAGTGCAGGGGAGGGCAGACTTCATGTTTCTGGGAGCTACTTATTTTTTTCCAGAACCTTGGGAGCTGCCAGTCTCAAAATGGCGGCTTGTACAAAAATGAAAGCGTTTCAGAGTTTCAGCTCTGGTGCAGGGGGGAAAGAGGTAACAGTATACTCCTTCCCTGCCCAAAGCAAGGGTGCATGTGAGCGAGCATGTGAAGGAGGAAGAGGAAAGGCAGACGGGAAAATGTGCTGGAGCTGTCATTTTCCCATACAGAGCAAAGGCATGTGCATGCATGCACCTCCTTTGTATGAAAGGAGACAAACTGCTTGTGGCAGCTTTAAAGGGAAGGATCAGGGCGGATCAGACAGTGATTTCAGCAGCACTGGAAGAGGGGCAGAGAGCGACTCCATTTACTCAAAAGGAAGACGACCCTGAATGCAAGATGACCTCCCCCCCATTTTATATACACACACAAATTACTCCTGTACATAACCGTAACTTATATGTGAATGTAAGATGACCCTCTTTGTTTGGGGGGGGAGGGGCATTGATGGCACACCTGTCAAAAACCTAGCCTTGCATTTGAGGAAATACAGTACTTTTAATTGCCTGGGGAGTGGTTGGTCATTCCAAGCAACCTTCTGCTCACCCCAGCTTTAGTGTACCAACACTGACCTTGCCAGGATCAGTGGTATCACTTGGGGCCAGGCAGCATCGTGTTCAAAGAGCAACTCCAATTACAGACCTCAAGAAGCAGGGCTGGGAAAGATGACCAAAGTGTGAGACCTTGGAAGCCCCTGTCTGAGTCCCCAGCATTATACAGTTGATCTGACTCTGTAAAAGGCAACTCCTTATATTATGAACATACCCTCCCCCCACTGTTCCCCTGCCTATTCCTCTGCCCCCTCCTTTCTCTGCTTCCCTGCACCTGATGGGTGGAGCAGATCACACATTCAAATGCAATTCCAGCAATGGGCTGTGCTTGCCCTAAAACTAGCAGGCCCTGAACCCCCCACTCCATTTGCCAGGAGGGGGGCCCTGTGTCTCAGAGTCACAGCAATGATAGATGAAGCATAAGCCTTGAGCTTGCACAAGGGAATAAATGGGGCAGAGGCGGAAGCACATACAGGCATCGGGATCTTGGAGAGTTCTTTGCCAATGCAGTTTTTCATGATGCTCCAGAGGTTAAGGCTGTAGTTGGGTTTGTCTGGGATTTGAGTCCGTCTGCTCTTCTTGGACACGACATCTTTCCCTGTAGCATCAAAGCTGGACCGGGTGGAACACTCAAACACCTAGAGAGGAAGCAGAGCCAACAGAGGTCAAGGGTCTAAGATCTCCAATTACCTTTCCCAAGCTCTGCATATATGGAAGTATTCCCCCAGCCCACAACTGATTTTTAAAAAACCCTACCAAAGATAAAAGCCTGAAGGGGGAGGCTGAACTACTAAACTGTACCTCCCTCCCTGTTCTGAGAGACAGAAGACCTCTTGAAGGGCCTTTCCATGGAAGCAGTAAGGGACTGAGAAACTCTCAATTGCAATGCATCACCCTCTCTTCAATTAACCCACACTATGGGTTGGTTTCCCCGATCTGGATGATCCAAGTTAGCCCAAACTTGTTAGATCTCAGAAGCTGAGTAGGGTTGATCCTGGTTAATATTTGGATGGGAGACCTGCACCAAGGAATATCAGGGCTGCTACACAGAGGGAGGCAATGGCAAACCGCCTCTAAACGTCTCTTGCCTTGAAAACTCTATGGGGTCATAGGAAGTCAGCTGCACTTTCCACCACCACCATGGACTGGCCAGCAGAAGGCACTGAAGTCTGCAGACCTTCCTCATTTGCCCCCTCTCCCTAGCAGCCATTTCCGACACTCAGAAAGTTGATTCCCAGGGTAGCAGAACCCACATGGGACAGTGGGCTGCAAGCTGAAGGGGATGATTTCTTCCTTCCTTCTTCTTCCATCATTGAAGCTCCACTGATGGGAAGGAAGGGATTTTACTCCTTTCTCCCTACTCACTGCATCCCACTTACCCAAGTGGCTATTATTCCATGTAGGTCCCATGGAACTGGAAGTCAACCTTCCTATAATTGGAGATGGCTATGGGGACAATCCATGATTGCTACACATGCTGGTTTCTGGAGCCAACCAGGTATTTTAAAGTTTTCATCCCATCTTCTTATCCACCACTAGGATTCTCAAGGCAGAAAACCAGCGTAATAAAAGTGAAACACCTAAATGGGGGATAGGCAGGGCATCTATCTAATCCTGAAGTGGGTGCCTCATGCCAGTCACAAAAGCAGCAAAACCAGACCACCTACAAGCAAGGGGCGTGGGAGTATTTATGTTCATATACATTTCTTAGATTTGCCAGATAGGCAGTAAAAGATGAGTTTGAAAATTAAGCTTGTAAAAAATAGGAAACAAACAGCAACACCCAGTAAACAGGTCAGGAAAAAAGGGCAGAGATTGAATAAAAAATAAAATAAAGAACAACAGTAATAATCAACAACAGCACCAGGTATGCTCAGCACCTGCCCAGATCAAATGCACACCTGAACAGCTGCATGTTGACTGGGTGCCAAAAGGCAAGGAGACAAAGGGCCAGAAGTCTTCTGAGGCAGAAAACTCCAAGGTCTGGGCATCACCAAACAGGCTCCTATGTAGCTACCTGCTGAACACAGAGCAGAGCTTCAGCAGAAGATCTAAGCACATGGATAGGTTCCCAGGGTGAGCTTGTCCTTTAGATATCCAGATTCCAAACTATCTATGATTTGAAGGTTCAAGTCAGCACTTTCAGGTGGTTTACCCTTCTCCAGGCAAGGGTGCAGCTGGCATGCCAGCCTACACTGGGCAGAAGTGCTCCTGACTATCCAGGAACATTCAACCCAAAACAGACTGAATGCTTCACCTTAGACCTGCCATTCCACTAACCAACAGCACTTCTGTCTTGTCTGGATTAAGTGCTGTTTTTTTAGCCTGGATCCAACCCAGCACTGATCTCAGACATCGGTTCAGGACTTCCACAGCCTCCCTGAAATCAGATGAAAAGAAGAAAATAGAGCTGGATATCATCAACACATTGATGACACCTTACCCTAAGTCTCCAGAAAACTGTCCCAGAAATTCCATGAGGATGCTGAAAGCCATGGAGGACAACTTGGATGCCCACAGATCTCCATAAACCAAAGGCCATGGAGAAGAGCAGCAATCCTCCAGAACTACCTCAGTGATCTGCCCTCCTGGAACGACTGGAAGCACCACAAAGCTGTGCTTCCGAGCCCCGCCATATCTATCAGGAATCCCATAAGGATATTCAGGGGTCATTTCGTAGAAAAAGAGGCACGGGGGCTCATTAGCATAACTTATTTGCATATGCCACACCCTCTGACATCACTGGAAGCTACCCTACAACAAACATGAAAATACAGATCAAGTCAGTATTGCTATTTATTTTTGTGATAGTTGCTATACAAAGCCTCCTGGGTTCAGCTTTTAAAGTCCAGTTTCCTTAGAAGGGCAAATTAGCAGTGACCTTTGCTATGAGTGGGGTTGGTTTGTTTTGTAAAAGGAAGTTACATTCTTATCACACCAGTGTACCTGTACAGTTACATGAAAAATAAATTTTTGCAAAAATCCTGTTCAAATAAATAGTCTACTTGTATGAACAGTGTGACATTAGAGAATGGGACTTGTGCAAGATCGCAGCTTTTTTTATATGCTCAGCAAAAACTTTTAATAGTGGAAGAAAAGCCACAATCTCATGGAAGTTTCTCTTTCAGTCACTTGCAAACACTCCAGCAAGTGGTACACATTCTGCATGCTCCATGTTTCACAGGGCTAGCAGATCTACTATCTGGAAAAGACATCCTCCCTTCTCTAGAAAATTATGACTAACCTGACCCCTTGAGAGAGAGGTGTGCCTAAAACAGACTTACACACATGACGCATATAATAACATTAAATACCAAGTTACCTTCTTCAAGTGAATACAAGCTAAGCTTTGCCTGTTGCTGTGAGAAAGACAACTCCCAGGGCTTTTTTTCTGGGGGAACATGCCAGAACAGAGTCCTGGAACCTCTTTGACACAATTCTTTTTAAAGGACCGGTTGAAGACATCATTAACCTGGCCCCCTTTGAAATGCAGTGATCATCCCAATTAACACATACACAGAGGGACGGACAGACAGGCAGACACACATCCGCACAGAGACAGAGAGACACAGAGGGGCAGACACACACACACACAGAGGGGCAGAGAGAGAGACAGAGTCAGAGAGACAGAGGAGCAGACACACACACACAGAGGGATTGAGAGAGAGAGGGTCGGAGAGACAAAGGAGCAGAGAGAGAGACACACACAGGGGGCATAGAGAGGGTCAGAAAGACAGAGGAGCAGACTCACACACACAGAAGGGCAGAGAGAGAGATACAGAGGGGCAGAGAGAGACACACACACAGACACAAACCAAGAGAGAGACACACACACAGAGGGGAAGAGAGAAACACAGAGGAACAGAGGGGCAGAGAGAGACATGAACAGAGGGAGAGAGAGACACACACAAACAAACACACACAGAGAAGGGCAGAGACACAGAGGAACAGAGAGACAGAGAGAGAGACATACACACACTTCCCACTTGAAGCAAGCCCCCTCCCCCCAGTGGCCAAAGCCACCCACGGCCTGGATGCCCTCGGCCCACCCCTCATCAAGCTCCTGCACCAGCCAGGCCGCTGGCACTCTCGGCCCACCTCCCACCCAACCAAGCCCCACCCACCCTGCTTCTGTGAGTGAAGGCTGCTTGCAGAGCCTTCCCCAGCCTGTCCGCTTTGGCGGGCAGGCCAGGGGAGGTCTCAAGAGGCCTTCCCCCACCCACCCACTTTGGTGGGTGGGCGAAGGCACGGGAAGGCATTTAAATGCCTCCCTGCTGCTTGCAGGGCCTTCCCCAGCCTACCCGCTTTGGCAGGCAGGCCAGGAGAGGCCCAGGGGGGTCTCAAGAGGCCTTCCCCCACCCACCCACTTTGGTGGGTGGGCGAAGGCACAGGGAGGCATTTAAATGCCTCCCTGCTCCTTGAAAGGCCCTTCCCCGCCCCGCCCACTTTGGCGGGCAGGCCAGGGGCCCCTCCAACTTACCTTGTTGCTTCCTGCTCCTTGTGGCCCGACTGAGGGCTGCTGGGGGCGGGGCTTGTTGAATGTGCCTGCCCCTGGGCTCGTTGCTGCCAGAGCGCTGCTCCGGTGCGCTCCAGCAGGAAATGACCCCTGAGGATATTATATTCAATGCTATCAGAAGTCACTGAGAGGTCTAGCGAGATTAATAAGGATGCTCTATAATTCCAAGCAAAAAGTTTGCCAATCAGGGAAACCATGGTCGATGTGGTCTTGAAACTGGTTAAAAATCAAGTATCCATGGGGGTGACTTACCACTGCAAGATCCAGCATCTCCACACCAAATGGTATAACTGATACTGGCAAGCTACTAGTGGGATCCAGTTTAAGCATTTTTCAATAAAGACTTCTTTAAAAAGTCTGGTTTTGTGCCTTTCCACAGCCCAGGCATTTATTATCTTCTCTGCCAGTCTGTACAGCCCTCCTCTGCCTGCTCTAATTGCCTGAGGTCTTAATTCCCCAAGGATTCTATTAACATTACCTGGCTGCACAAACTGAAAAGGATCGATTTAAACATGACAAGTAGAAGCCAAGGAATGCTCAGAACCAGTTCTACAATGGACACAGAGTCTAAGTTATGGCAGGGAATGATTTGATCTGCAAAGGGCCTTAAAAAGTGGTCACAGCAGCACAATAAGGAATCCTTCCCAAGGGTCCCAGTGTAAAAGGCGGTCCCCAGTCACTTAAAATGGCTGCTCTGGCAAACACCTTATACAAATGCAGTAGTGGCAGGAAAGATTTCTTTGTTATCATCATGGAGTGGGCCTTACCCAAGTTCACTCAGATTCATGGCTGGTTTTTCTCTGCTGAAAGTTAAGTTTAGAAGGTTCTAAGCAATGCTTCCTCTATGCTGTGGAGTCTTTGTGAGCAAAAATTTTACTTTGTGAGTTTCTGGCATTAAAGTTGTGAGCGAGCGATTCGGCTACTGCATCAATTAGTTTGCTCTGGAGCCACCCTCCCTGAGCTAAGACAAAAATGTGTGAGCCAGAGGCTTAAAAACTGAGCTAGCTCACACTAACTCAGCTAAAGGGAACACTGGTTCTAAGTTACAAGTGGGGGTTCAAGGGCATCCAGGCTCTAAAAAGGCCATTGTGGTTTCTGCAACCCTTTCTTGCTTATACAAGTGGCTCTTTTGGAGAATGTTAAGACTTTAGAATATAACCATAGCCATAGAGCAGGGGTCCCCAACAAAGTGCCAGCTCACATTAACTTAGCTTAGAGGGAACACTGCTGCACAGCTAAAACGTGTAATGCACTTCATGGGAATGTCGACTGCAGTGGTCCCCAGTGTGGGGCTCACTGACACCTTTCATGAAGTCCACCAGGTGTTTTTAGAAAGTGGTCAGGGACAGGTGGGGCTTTTGGGCAGCAAAGTTTCTGACTGGCTGTCCAGATTTTTAAAAACACTGCTTTCACAGCACCTGCTCCCACACAGCACAAGGATCTTCACTGTGTCACTGATGGCAAGCTGCTGTAGCCATTTTGTGGCTGGCTCCACCTTCTGTGGCAGCCATTCTGTGGCTGGGTCCTCCACCCTGTGTCAGAACATTAAAGGTGCCGGCAGGCTCAAAAAGGCTGGGGACCCCTGGTCTACTGAATCCATTAGTTTGAATGTATTCTATAATCCAGGTAGAAGTTGATAGTAACATCACTACATCAAATTTTGGTCACTTGTCCAGATCATTTATGTTCCTATCAAAATCTGGCCAGAATCTTCCTCTTACTGTACACATCTGCAAGGAGCTCACACCAGCCCTTCAGCACCAACTTTTAGTGTTTACAAGCCACAGTGGCTCAGCTCATGAAAGAGGAGCTGATGTAAAGGGGATAGCCAGAAGAAGTTGTTTTTCCTTGTCCATAAGTGTATTAGATGCCTGAAAAATGAAGACAAACACCGCTAGCTCAACATGCAAACTTATTTTGTGTATATGCAAGAAAATATTTTTCATCCCTATGCTAATTTTAAAAGGCATCCCATCAAACAGAGTTTTTGTCTGAAATGTCGAAGAGTTACTATCAGAGTTATGCAGAACCTGACGCTTTGTGCCTGGCTCTGCTTTCTGCAGCAGCCATTTTGTGGTTGGATCTGCCACCCATGGAAGCCATTTTGTGCACCCACCATCTTCTGTCAGAATTCCAAAGATGCCAGCAGGCTCAAAAAGGCTGGGGACTCCGGCTATAGAGACAGTGATATCTTATTGCTTCTGTCTCAAATTATCCCAAGTTAAGCAAAAAAACAGAACACACTGCCCTGATTAAAAAGGCCAGTGTGGCAGATGTTGGATTGGATCCAGACTAAATTTTTCCATCAACAGAATGGAACTTTTCTGCCTCATCCTTCCCACTGAAGCCCAATGATCCCCATGAAATGCTGTTCCTGGGGGATAGGGAGGGACCCTGGGGGATTAAATGAGGGTAGACTGCAGTTGGAAGGGGGAAATGGCAGAGATGCTGATTTAGTTTGAATCCAACTCAGCATGTTAAACCCCTGCCCAGCCATAAATGTTCCCTCTTCTCTCACATATTTTGGAAAATGCCAAAGTTAGAAAGAAGAGGCTGATGTCTGACCCTGATCACTCTTAGGATATGCATGCCACCACCAGGCTGGGTTCATCAAAAACATCCCCAGAGCGAAGGGAACCAAGTTTTCAGAGCCATTTTTGGAGCCCTATCTGAGTACACTTACGCTGTCCTCTAGGTTCCAGTCATCGGCACGACCTTCACTGGCCCCGCTCAGGTTGCTGTCAGTGCGTCTGCAGAAGAAACAAAGATGACAGGGGCAGGTGAAAGGGAGCATGGTAACCCAATGCAGTGCGCAAACAATACCTGTCTACTGCTGAACATACCTGTGATGAACTATGAAAAACCACTCTGAGGGGAGGTAGTAGCAGAGGCTCACTCTGATTGGTGAGTCGCCTCCAGGACAACGGAAGCATCCAGCAGGGGATTGGGGGGGAAGGAGAGCTGACAGTTGGAAGGGTGGTTGGAGGGGGTCTTTCTGGAGAGAGTGAATCTAATGGAGGAGGGGGCCTTTTGAGTGGCTGCCTTCAGAGAGAAAACGCTCAGTCTGGGAGACAGTGACAGGATGTCCCAGAGAGAGGGGCAGAGAAGACTCTGCTGAAGGGAGTTCCCAGAGTAAAAGGTCAGACCCAGGTTAAAAAAGAGAAAGACATCCACTCACACAGGGACTAGTTGGGATTCAGAGCCTAATCAGGGGAACCCTGGTTTATTGGTGGTATAAATTCACTAGTAGCACAACTGCCTGCTTATTGTAAGGAACCTTCTGATAGGGTTTATAATTTTTATTAGTTCTTCCTGAGTTTGGGAAAGCCTAAACATTGTTTATAGTGTTTGTAGCGGGCACTTGTTGGTTGCCAACTGTTTGCTCTCGTAAAACCTTTTCCCCATTTCCCTGCCTTTCATTAAGAATAAATCTTTCCTCTTATTTCATTTTTAAACCCTGCTATTGGTGCCATTCTTTCATACCTGTCAGGAAAGGTTTGGGCTCCTGAGGTTCCCTTTACCTGAGAAGGGTTCCTCACAGTACCATTGAGGGAATCACAAAAGGTAGGTTCTCATACGTAAAATGAACTACGTCACAGTCTCACCAACCCAGCTTTTTTGCCCAAACTGAGCTCTTTATTGCAAGGAAGGTGAAGTGAGTTTTGGGCACCTGCTGTCACCCAGACAGTCCAGAGAAACTGGCTCCCCGCACCAAAGGAAGTTGTCTTTTTCCCTTCAGGGGGAATGCAACGGGTCCATTAATTTGCTGGGTGGTCTTCCAAACATGTCAGAAGACTCTTTGAAACAGCAGCCATTGAAAGGGGGCTCACGGTGCGCTGGCAAGCCATACCTACCTGTGGTGCTTTGTGGGATCTGCAGCTACTGTGATGAAAGATGGCGCGTCCTCCATGGCATCAAAGTATTCAGTGTCCTCATCTTCGTCGCTGGCTTCCCCTTTCACTGTCAGCACGTTCCCTGCTGGCACAGAGGGACATTCGGATAAACTTGCTGCCAACCCCCCCCCCCAACACGTTTGACAAGCAAAACAGAGGCAGGCGGTTCAAGAAGCAGAAATGCATGACGGAGTCCTTACACAGAACTCATCTCTTCTGACTGAACTCTATCAGATGCCTGCCCTTAGTTCCCATACCCCCTCTCATTTAGTAATTTTGATTCTACAGCTGTCAGCCTTCAGCAGTAATGATCTTGCTTGTCATTTGCAGTTACCCTAAATCTCAGCCATCAAAAACAGGAGACTTTTTTTTATGCCCCCCATAGGGGATTTTTTTATTTGCATTTTTAATAAACTACAATGAAAATTAGGGAGGGGATCTACATACTATGGGGAAAAGTAAAGAAAACCCACTAAAAACCCAAGAGATGGTGGTCATACATACTGCTTAACAAATTAGCTCGATTCAAGTTCATTGAATGTGGTCATCTAGAAGTCAATTTATACTGTAAAATAAATTTAAACACCACCACTTCTGACTTCTAAAAAAGCAACCTAAGAAATAATGATAACAATACATTGTAAGAGCTTTCAGAGTGTAATAACATCTCATTTTTTGTACTTCCCCCCCCCTCAAAAGATAGCTTGTCTTTGGGGCAGCTGCCCCTAATTTGGAATCTGAGTTCTCATCTGAAGATGCCGCTGCTCCTTCTTCTTCACTTTCTTTGGTGCTGTCCCCTTTCTCGACTTCTTCTCCTGATGGATGACTGTTGGTGCAAAAATTCGCATGCCTTTTCAACAGAGTCAATTTTTTCTTTCTTGTCCATGAATTTGAAGATTGTGCCTTCGGGGACAATCCATCTGTATGGGATGTTGTTCTTTTGTAAAAATATCACCAAGTCTCTGTATTTCCTTCTCTTCCTTCTTATTTCAAATGGGATGTCCTTTAACACTTTTATTTCTTTGTCTTTGATTTTCAGGGTAGATCCATTTGTCGCTTTGAGAATTTGATCTCTCACTTGTCTTCTAGAGAATCTTATAATCACTTCCCCAGGCAGTTTTTTTTTTTTTTGTAAATTCAGAATACGACCTATAGATCGTATCTATTTCGCTTTGTAGAGTATCCGTTTTTATGTCTGCCATGGGACCTAATACATCGCACATAGTCTGTTTCAGATTCTCAGTCTTTTCTTCCGGAACACCTTGAAATCTTAAGACATAGCTTGCTCTCTCCATTTGTAGCTGTAACAGTTCAGACTCCTCCATCAAACTCTTTTTTTCCCCATCACCTGCAGTTGTTTTTTAAGTTTTTTTAGTGTTAGCATCCACTTCTTTTACTTCTTGTTCAGTTTTATCTGTTTTTTTGGCTATTTCAGTTCATTGCATTTGCTGTGCATCCAATTTGCTATGCAATGCCGTGACTTGTTCCAGCAGAGGTTGCAATGCTTCTGTCAGCATCTTTTGCAGCTCTGTAGTTGTGTCCTGTCTAAGAACAGGACTCGCTGGGCCAGCAGTTCCGGCAAGAAGCTTAGGTTTCACTTGTTTGTCTTTCTCATCTTTCCTCGTGGGCACCATGTTTGGGGATTGGTTACTTTTAGTAAAAGTTAGCGGGGAAGAGTTTCTCCCTCGCTTTTAAAGGGTGGGTTTTCAACTAGCTCTTTGGTGTTTCTCGCTTAGACTCCAACTCACGTTTCAATGATAAATCTGCTTTCATTTTAAGTTGCTAGGCCACCAAGCGCTTGCTCCGGTGTGCGATTTCAGATTCCCATTCAGGATGCTCCGCGGTGGCACCTTCGGGGCATAGAGAAAGCCCCCCTTTGCCAGCAGGGTCACCGGAGGAAGGGCCTTCTAGTGCCCCATGGCTGGGAGCCTCATGCGGAGGCTCCAAGGGTGGCACGGACAATCGCGCCCCCTCCTCACCGTGGGCTCTGGCAGTCGTCTCCCGGAGATCGGGAGAAAGCGGCTGCCATGGCGAACGCCAAAACCGGAACTAAAAAACAGAAGTCTTGTAGCACTTTCAAGACTAGACAGTTTTTACTGGATTGTGGATTCCCAATTTGGAGAAAGCTTATGCTGGAATTTTAAAAATGTCAAGTCTAGTCTTGACAATAGTAGTAGGGGTACCCCCTAGTAGGGGTACCCCCTGGAATCTGTTTCCAAATCTCAGATCCACATTTACAAGTTCTTAATGAAGGTAATGTGTACTCTGCATCCATCCACCCCCAATTGTGCACTAACACATTTGCCTTTGTGGCCATTGCTAGATTTGGCCCCCGAGTTTCAGCTGACACTGACAATTTTCAGCACTGAAATCAACAGAAAAGCTTCTACAGGGCAAAAAATATTGTGCTTTTCAAAGCATGACATATGAGCCATCACTTGAATAAGAACTTAAATGAAATGCGAAAGGAAGTCCATACATTAAATATATCAAATGCACCCCCCCTCAATTACCATGGACACCTATCTAGAACATCAAAATGTCTTTGTTAGACTCAAGATGACAATCCATCAGCAGAAAATTGCCTTGCAGTTTCAGTGGGCAAATCTCATTCCTTTAGAATTGCTTTCATCGTTGTCACGGAAAATGTACTGCACATGGTAGATCTTCAGCTTACGAGCAATGGCCTTGTCCCAGTATTGCATTTGGTAAGCTGTGGAAGAATTAGCTTCATTCTTTACTCACCCTTGAGATTTTCTGCCTTCAAATTAATCCTGGGATATGTCCTGTCTACATGGAAGATTGCATTGTCAGAGACGGAGCCTACTCTTAAGGGGCACTGTGGGACCAAATGACTTATCCTACAACACTGGGAAGCGGTGGCTCTTTCAGATATTGAAAATTGGACTGGAGACCTTTCAGATGTACCAATTAAGGAGCCTGTAGCATTTAGTAGATGCACCATCACTACTAGCATGCCTAGAGACCAGCGGTGCAGCAGTGTCTGTTTTCATCTGCTCCAAGTAAAGCAGCAGAATAATAAATTGAAGCTCAAACAAGCCAAGATAGAAAAGATGATCCTGGGGGACTCTGTGAATCAGCTGGATGGGGAAATGCCTCTTCTGAATGGGAGTGCAATCTCCCTAAAAGATCAGGTTGACAGTTTGGATATTCTCCCCGGACCATGGATTTGTTGTTGTTGTTCAGTCATACAGTCAAGTCTGACTCTTCACGACCCCATGGACCACATCACGCCAGGCCCTCCTGTCTTCCGCCATCCTCCAGAGTTTGCCCAATTTCATGTTCATTGCATCGATAACACTGTCTAACCATCTCATCCTTTGCTGTCCCCTTCTTCTTTTATTATGCTGTTTATAGCCCGCCTTTCTCACAGTATCAGGGTCTTCTCCAGTGAGTGCTCCCTTCTCATTTGATGGCCAAAATATTTGAGCTTCAGCTTCAGTATCTGGCCTTCCAAGGAACTGTCAGGGTTGATTTCTTTTAGGATTGACTGATTTGATCTCCTTGCAATCCAAGGGACTCTCAAGAGTCTTCTCCAGCACCATAATTTGAAAGCATCTATTCTTTGGTGCTCGGCCTTCCTTATGGTCCAACTCTCACAGCCATACATTACTACTGGGAATACAATCAAAGTCTTTAGTGTAGTCAATGAAGCAGAAGTAGATGTTTTTCTGGTACTCCCTTGCTTTCTCCATAATCCAGCAGATGTTGGCAATTTGATCTCTAGTTCCTCTACCTCTTCGAAATCCAGCTTGTACTTCTGGCAGTTCTCTATCCACATACTGCTGAAGCTTGTAGGATCTTGAGCATGACCTTGCTATTGTGTGCAATGAGTGCAACTGTGCAATAGTTTGAACATTCCTTGGCATTGCCCTATTATCAACTTTGGTGGGTTTGATAGCCTTGGTCTCTTGTGCCCTGCGGTTGGCCTTCCATAATAACTGATTGGCCACTGTGAAAGATATGATACTAGACTAGATGTTCCACTGGTCTGACCCAGCAGGGCTCTTCCTCATACATAATCAGAAGCATAACCACCATCACACCCTTGCTCACCAACACAGCACAATGAAGCTTGCCTGCACTGTTTTGTTCTGAGAAAGAAAGAACTTTATGAAAGGCAGGAGTCATTTGTCTTAGGAGTAGTTGCCAGAGATGAGATGGAGGCGGAAACTCACCTTTGGGTGCGCGGGTGACAGTATTCACAGTGAGTCCTGGGGCTCCTCGGCAGGCCCGTTCCAAGCTGTTGTGCTGCTTGGCTAACTGCTCAATGGTTTCCTCAAGCCGGGTCCGCTGCTCACGCTCGTACTGGAGTGCCCGCTGCCATTTTCGACTATGGGTCTCTGCTAAATCGAGGAAATCCCGGCAAGCCTGCAAGGAACAAGAGAACTCAGGTCAAGACTGGGGCATGAGGTGACTACAGTAGTTTAAAAATACCATGGCAAATGCAGCACTGCACATGGCAGAAGACAAGGGCTGATACTGCTGATTTGTTTGGTTGCACTGTGCAAAACAGTAAACATACAGAATGATGCAGATGGGTTCAAATAATTTATACATACCATTTCTAGCATTTCTTGACACAGAATCTGGATTGCAGAATTTTGGGGTGCAGAATTTTTAATTAATGTGTTTTGTTTTTAGCACAGAAGATGTGGAGCCCTGGTTAAAACCGGCATGACGAATTATGTTCCAGAAGACAATCCAGAATGGGGAGTCAGCTCAGATGGCACGAAGTGTAGCATGAATATGGTGACCCCCCACCCTCCCACCAGCATCCCTCTTGCTTTAATCTATCTATGCACAGGCATTCTACCACAGTGCTCCTGCTATCCCTTTGCAACGCCAAATATGCAATTTCAAAACGCTAAGTGGAATAAATCATGCAAACCGAGCACATTTAGCCTGCATACTTTACACTGTAAACATACCCACACAACAAGGGGTTGTCTAAGCATGGGATTTTGATCCGTGGGGCACAGAGGACACATAGCCCTGGGCACAGGCTCAGATCTTGCATATAAAAAAGCAGACTTTCCCCACACTCCCTCACCCATGAGCTGAACAGGAGTGGCAGTCCTCTCTCCCTGCTCTTTAGAGAAGTACACTCCAGTCAGAATGGTTGTCCCCTGGGTAGCAATTAGAGGCAGAGTACAGCAAGCTGCACCTGCCAGCTTAAAAGCCCTTCCTTTACAGGTACAAAGAAGACAGGACAGGTTCCCAGGGAGCTGGCTTGCTGGTATCCAAGGCTGAAAATACAAGAGCAGAACCCTTGAGCAAATTCCAGGTTCCAGATACTCAAGATCAGAATACATCCCTGACAATTGTAAGAGGAGTTTCTAAAACATCTGTTTAGATTTCTGTTCCATTCTATCCTAAAGGCTTCGTTTGCATTTTACATTTAAAAGTTAAGGTATACAACCCACTCACCCCACAATATAAAGTTATCAGCACCTCACAGTCCAGACTTCGTCCCAGCTGCTCAATTGTGTAACGCCTCTAAAAGATGCCCAGTTAAGCAATTCTCTCAGCAAAAATAAACCCACTAAAAAAAGTTAATAAAAGACGAAACTCTTAGCTTTGTCTTCTAGTTAGCAAAGACTCACATGCCACTGCTATTGAACATTTATCAGCACTGACAGCTAGGGCTAAGAGCTCCATGCTGGAAAATTCCGGGAGATTTGCGGGGAGGGTGGAATCTGGGGAGAGTGGAGTTTGGGAAGGGGAGAGACTTCAGCGGGATATAGTGCCATGGACTCCACTTCCCAAAGCAGCCATTTTCTCCAGGGGAATGGGTCTCTGTCACCCAGATATCAGCTATTATCCCAGGAGATCTCCAGCCACCACCTGGAGGATGGGAACCCTACTGACAACCCTGTTCAGCCATTTTGATGAGGAAAGCAGTTGTTTGTGTCTCGGAGTGGAATGTAAGATCTCCATGCATTCATGACAACATCTGGGCCTTCCTCCGAGGTGCCTGAACCGGGCATCTTCTTTAAGCAGCCAGCGGCATGTTGGGGCACTTACTTTTCAATATTTCTCTGTGTGATTACAGCGCAACAAAATGCAAGCAAGTGGGCAGCAAAGAGAGTTACTTCAGGGTATACTTTTGAGAAATGATGGCTGGCTGGAAGATTCCCTCCCCCCATTTATAAGGTTATTGATGTTATGATATTTGATGTTTTTATATTGGCTCAAGTGGTTAAGACGCTGAACTGCAGGCTGTGGAAGGTCAGTAGTTCAGCAGTTCGAGACCCGGGTGCCGCATGATGGAGTGAGCTCCCATCTCTAGCTCCAGCTTCTGCCAACCTAGCAGTTCGAAAGCAAGAAATTGCAAGTAGATAAATAGGTACCACTTCGGTGGGAAGGTAACAGCATTTCGTGCACCTTGGTGTTTAGTCATGCCGGCCACATGACCACGGAAACGTCTTCGGACAGCGCTGGCTCTTTGGCTTTGAAACGGAGATGAGCACCGCAACCCTAGAGTCGGATTTGACTGGCTTTCGAGCAAGGGAACCTTTACCTTTACCTTTTTAAGGCTTAATATCATGTTGTAAATTGCCCAGAGCCTGGCACAAGTCAGGATGGGGTGATATAACAACAACAATAACAATAATAATAAAGCTCCACCTCTCTTAAATGGTCTGCCGGCTCATGTCATCACAGAGAAGAGAGAAGAGAAGAGATTGGATTTATACCCCGCCCTTCACTTGGAGTCTCAGAGCGGCTTACAAACTCCTTTCCCTTCTTACACAGATGCTTCTCATCCACACTCTCCTGTCCTCTCTGCAACTGGCAATGGAACACCCAGATGGGGCCCAACCTGGCCTGCAGGCTGCCTGTTGCTACACAGAGCACCAAACAAATGGTTTTTATGAGGACTCCTTTTCAGGTCACAAGCTTGTCTTAGAAGCCTAAAGCTGGCAGATGGAGCTAGTGTGAGTTTGGAGGGACCCATCCCTGGCGTCCGTTTCAGATAGTAGACTGTAGTCAGGGTTTCTATTGTGGAACTGGAAGAAGGAACAAACAACAGTCATAAAAGGTATATGGGGGGTGTTAAACACCAAAGCCCTGATTTTTGTTGGTGGCAAAACACAAAACAAAAATTTCCTTGTCAAAACCATCAACCAGATCGTTAGACACTTTTCAAGCTGCCCGTGGCAAGTAACAATAATTTCTGGTGGCCAGGTTCAGAATGATGGGCCATATATGGCTAACAAAGATATGTGTGGGCGGGCCACGAGGTTAGCAAAAACAAAAAAGAGCCTGTAACTTTTGGATTTATTTGCAAGATCGCTATACCAATTCCAATTTCCAATAACCTTTATTGGCATAACACGCAAGATCGCTATACACTAGAAACTGGGAGCTTTGAAACAGCACTCTGTTGAATATCTGCCCACATATCCCTTGCACTTTCAAACTTCTCTATCATGAATACGGGAAACTGAGCTTTGTAGTATTCGTCTGATCTGGCGAGGAAGGTATATGGGGGGTGTTAAACACCAAAGCCCTGATTTTTGTTGGTGGCAAAACACAAAACAAAAATTTCCTTGTCAAAACCATCAACCAGATCGTTAGACACTTTTCAAGCTGCCCGTGGCAAGTAACAATAATTTCTGGTGGCCAGGTTCAGAATGATGGGCCATATATGGCTAACAAAGATATGTGTGGACGGGCAACGAGGTTAGCAAAAACAAAAAAGAGCCTGTAACTTTTGGATTTATTTGCAAGATCGCTATACCAATTCCAATTTCCAATAACCTTTATTGGCATAACACGCAAGATCGCTATACACTAGAAACTGGGAGCTTTGAAACAGCACTCTGTTGAATATCTGCCCACATATCCCTTGCACTTTCAAACTTCTCTATCATGAATACGAGAAACTGAGCTTTGTAGTATTTGTCTGATCTGGCGAGGGAGGGAGAATGGGGTTGTAATCCCTGAATTAATGCATGAAAAACATAACTAGATTATAAATTATGCTTCATCTCCAGCAGCTCCTTACTTCAGTAATCTCTACACATGAACCTCCAAAGCCCGTTTGCAATTATCTCCTTTCCTCTACAGAACCATAACAGTCTTTGTACTGTAAGAGTCTTTAAAAGCCTCTTAAATAAAGCTCTGTAATTACAGGTGATGTTCTGGAATGTCTTATTTGAAAACATTCCTTCCCCTACAACTGGGGACAGCTGGTAATTTCCATATTAACATTCTGCCAAGCTACCAGGGTGTGTGGTGTGTGTGTAGCAATGGTCTCTGCCTGCAGGCAGACTGCTTCTTCCAGTGTAGAGAGGAAGGTCAACACCACTGTCTGGTTTCGTGCCACTGCAGCGGCAAAATGTCATGGCAATAGGCAAGTGTTCCAAATGGGACTGAATTCACTGGCTCTCTTGCTAACCTGCTGCTGGTCTTTAGAGTCTGTAGTTAGGTATGTGGAACGAAAGAGCAGATTCCGTGGCAGAATGCACACGGGAGAAACAGAGCGCTAAGAAAAGTGCTCATCCATCCATCTGACCTTCCCTGCCTTTCATCCTGGTAAATATTAAAGACTCCTGTCGTGTCATGTTCATTCTCTCATCAAAAAGAATTTTATTGTTTTTAGCATGCAGACCATAAGGCTCTGGGCATTAACAGCAGTCTGTGTTCTGTCCCTGACATCCGTCACTACATTTGCCCCAGAAACAGGAAGTTAAAGCTCTGGAAATACTATACTGCATAGCCAGCAGGTTTGTGTTTTCCCTCCAGTGAAAAGCCATCCTGCCGTTGCTTGTTCAGCTGTCTGATCAGAGAGATCGCATTCTTCCTTTCTGCCAGTGTGGATCCCAAAGGGAGAACAGTTTTGTAAACAGGTTGGTTAAATTGCTTTTCTGTCTTGGAACAGCAAGGCAGGAGCTGTAGCCCATTTCTACACTCCAGAAGGAAGGTGCAAGGCTCATTGTGTTATCTAAGGAACCTTGAGGGAGGGCATTTTCAAGGCCTCCCTTTTACGTGGGCTTTTATCTTAAAAAAACAAAACTGAGGTTTTAGAAATAGGCTTCGACTGCTGCCTATACTAGTGGTTTTTTAATTTCATTTGACCCAAGGAAAAATTATGGATGGACTTCCCCAAATGACAGCTTAATGGCAAAAGGTCGAGGAAAGGAAATCATGAAGGATGCTGCATTTGAAAAGGATGAGTTGCTCTTACTGTGGACAGGAGAGGGGAAGCCTTCCTGCAGAAGACCTTGCCTTTGCCTAATCGCTAGAGGCTCAGCTTGGGCTCTCGCCTTCTACGGGCACCACACCAGACAATGCCCTGTGCAGCTGAGGCCCACAAGCAGGGCTGCAAAAAGGGTGAGCACAAGGCAATGGCCGAGGGAGACCAG